TTTTACGTTTTATATTTACTAGACGATGGATAATATCCAAGAAAATTTTTATTCAACTGAACAATGATTTTGCTAATCAAGATATTCTACGTCTTTTCCGAGACCCAGAGTGTCCGCTCGCTTGCTAAGCCAAATACAATACAGTACACACTCTCCAGCCTTATTTTAATATTATCCTCGCCTGCGTATTCCAACTGGTTCCTCTGATCACTAACGTCGACATGTATTTGCCATATCTTCGATCTATTTTCAAGTGAACACTCGGTTTCTGCAACTAATTACGGGGATAATTACCATTACAGACGCGACAACTTCTTTGACAATTAAGTGATGCGTGTACTCTACTCACTTGGTTGCAGGCGCACTACAGCGATGAACAAACTGGACAGACGTTTGGTTTGCACGGACGTCGACAACCACCTACATCCAAGTGGGGTCGCTCAAAAGATAAGTAGTTACTAGCAGCAGGTTCATAAATATATAAAGTGATGACGTCCTGAACACGGTGGTAAGAAATCGAAACTAGAAGCCTATTTGTTAGGGGTTCCCAACCTCACAAGACATGGGGCCACATTTATCCTTCGTTATCAACTCGAGGACCACCGATTTATAAATGAAGACAATTTACTGAAACTGCATGACAATTTATTGAAATGCTACTGAACAGGATTATAATATTCAAAACGCTGTCTCTAACAAAATCAGTCATCGGTGACGTATCTGACACTGTTTTTATTTAATTAATCTTTCAACATCAGGTTTAACTGTTCCTGTCCTAGTTTTTGATCTGACGTTCTACATTAATCTGAACAGTTTTGCACAGTGCGAGCTGCTGACAATACTGACGTCATTAATAAAACGAATTCCCTGACATCAGGTACCTATTTTTCATCACGCGGTGTGACACGATACTTAAAAAACCGTCCATAACATCCGCGGGTAGAGAATTCCGAAATTAAAAGCTATACTGAAATTAACCACACCTAAATTTCATTCTACTAAAGAAAAAAACTTAACTCTTGGGCACTAGAAGCGTTAACACAGTGTTATACGAGGTGCGATCGGAAAGTTTCCAGACTGTATCAATAGCGGGCGAACCGGATGTAGTACGAGCTTCTGCCTTTAGGGGGTGCGGCCTACATTCATAGTGAATCAGTGTGCCAGCCGGCATCATCGAATTAGCATTTGTTTCTTAGTTACGGGCGTTTTGGTAGTGCATTACACCGACCCTCCTGCGATTTCGGAATGGCGTGTGCATCAAATTTGGCCAAAGACTCGCCAAAACGGCTACGGAAACCTATGAAATCCTAAAGCAAGCATTTGGGGAGTCCGCAAACTTTGGTGTGGCATTCACGTTTTAAAAATGACCGAACCTCTGTCGATGATG